GGGTTTTTTCCTATCCTACAGAAACATCGATACCCACAAAAGCTGCTGGGAAGTATGTTGGTTCTGAGCATCAGTGGGGGGGTTTAACAGTATAGTTGGGATTCCACAAGAGCTGAACATGAGAGTCTGCATAACTCTTCATCACATTTACTCTTGACTGTTGTTGGAACCCCAGGATGCCTTTTCCATCTGGTTTTTAATGGTTAAGAATGGACAAAATGGTTATCTAGTGTGAAAAGGCACCATGGAGAAGTCCTGTCAGTTTGCATGTGATGCACAAAGAGCAGACTCTGAGACCTTAACCCAGGCTTCCTCCTCCTCCTCCTCCTACAGTGGTCATCTTCTGTTGCAAACCTGCGCTGGAATGCACAAGCCTCTCCCTGAATCTCACCTAAGCACTTCATCAATGATAACGAACCCTCTAAAAATCGATGATAAAATGGGCACACTGACCCTCCACCTGCCTCAGCAAAAATGTAGGCTTTGCAACATTCCTTATTAGAATGCAAACTGAGCAATTCGCTTGTTCCCGCTCCCTCCCCAACACATGCATAAAAATGCTTATTTCTTAAAAAATAATAATCCATTAATAGGCTTACAATGACAGAGTGACCCAGATACCTCTTCACCCTCCAATTCAGGATACAGCACACTTTTTGAGTCCACAGGGATGATCATCAATAAGCAGGGCTACTCTGCTGCAGCCAGGGCACGTGCACGACTCACTGCTTTATGCCAGATGCTCCTCCTGGCAGTGACCTCGTCCCTGGCCCCACTTCACCATCTCTAAAAGAAAAAGTGCGTGAGCAGACGAGCAGTCCTATCTGGAACACACTAAACGGCACACCAATCAGCAGTCCCCAGTATCTAGAAGGAGGCTGCCATTTTGCCACATAGCAGCTGACAGGTTTGTGAGTTACCAGACACACTTTACTATATGTGTGTGTGCACATGCTTCCTTCTGTGTTTTGGGAGAGGGGTTATTTTTAGAATGAGAACACAGAATGTATAGTTTACAACTCTGCATGTATAAATTATCTCTCTCTCTCTCACCCTCTCCTTCCTTGGAACAGAGAAGTGACAAAGTGAGAGCAACACATTGGACAGAACTGGCCAAAGTGGAAGCTCAAGTCCGAAGCATGGATTGAATAAGGCCCTTTGTAGTTTCCAGAGAAATGTGGGGGAGGTGTGACTTGGAACAGAAGGACATGCCTCCTTTCCCCCTTACCTCTGTTAATGTCTGAGGATCCCTTGAGTTGAAGCTGGCTAGGCAGGGTGCGGGAAGGAGAGATGTCCCCTGTCCCTTAAGTGCTGAGAAGCCAGGGGTTAAAAGTTAGGAATTTTAGGGAGTTCTGAGGTTGGTTTTGATCTTTTGTTCCACCCAAACCTCAGTATTCCTTCCTGCCTTGTCCTCATTCCTGTCTTCTTCCGGAGTGGCCAATCAGGATTGACCTTTGTCTCACCCCCCCCCACCAACATCCTGAAGCAAATTAGCCACTGTATTAATTTCACAGGCAAAGATCTGCAAATGCCTAATCAAGCCAGGTGATTTGAAGTGCTGCAGTTGAGGGTTAGCTGGTGAGGCTCCATGAAGTTCATGCCATTCAGGGGGCTGGACAAAAATGAGCCTGTTCAGGTGTTTAAAGAATCTTTTAGTGGACCACAAGCTTAGTGTGAGTCAACAGTGTGATGCAGCAGCAAAAAAAAAAACCAAAAAAAACAACCACTAATGCTATTCTAGACTGCATCAAAAGAATTATAGCGTCCAGATCAAGGGAAGTACTGAACCTACGGCTTGCTGATCAGAAGGTCGGCGGTTCGAATCCCCGCAACGGGGTGAGCTCCCGTTGCTGGGTCCCTGCTCCTGCCAACCTAGCAGTTCGAAAGCACATCAAAGTGCAAGTAGATAAATAGGTACTGCTCTGGCGGGAAGGTTGACGGCATTTCCGTGCGCTGCTCTGGTTTTGCCAGAAGTGGCTTAGTCATGCTGGCCACATGACCTGGAAAACCTGTCTGTGGACAAACATCGTCTCCCTCGACCTGTAAAGCGAGATGAGCGCCGCATCCCCAGAGTCATTCGCGACTGGACTTAACTGTCAGGGGTCTGCCTTAGTCAGACCACACTTGGAATACTGTGTCCAATTCTGGGCACCACAATTTAAGAAGGATGTTAACAAGCTGGAACATGTGCAGAGGAGGGCAACCAAGATTATCAAGGGTCCGGAAACTAAGTCTTATGAGGAGCGCTTGAAGGAGCTGGGTATGTTTAGCCTGGTAAAGAGGAGACCGAGAGGAGATATGATAGCCACCTCCAAATATCTTAAGGGCTGTCACATGGATGAGGGAGCATGCTTGTTTTCTCCTGCTCTGGAAGGTAGGACTTGAACCTATGGCTTCAAGCTACAAGAAATGAGATTCTGACTAAACATTTGGGAAAAACTTTCTGACAGTAAGAGGTGGTGGGCTCTCCTTCCTTGGAGGTTTTTAAGCAGAGGTTGGATGGCCATCTGCCATGGATGCTTTAGCTGAGGGGTTGGACTAGATGACCTTTGGGGTCATTTCCATCTCTAAGATTCTATGGTTCTATGGTTCTATGTGAGGGGGCACACAAACCACATATAGGAGGTGCCTGAGCCTGGGAGCTCTGCCCCTAGCATCCCTGTGTAGACGACGACTCCTACTACTACCACCACTACTACTATTATACTACTAGAATGATGCAGAGTTGTTAGTGAACACAAGGCTCACATATGCGATACATGTATTAGAGTCTTCTAATAGCTACCACTGTAGCTCATGACAATGTGGAACAGAACTGGGTAACCTGAAGGTTGGGGAAATAAAGCACATAAATCTGGCTATGATAAAAAGGCCAGGAAAATTGAGTCTGGTCTCCAATAAACTCCTGCATAATGCTACTAAGGACAAATTGATAGTGGCACCTGGCAAGATAACTGAGCCAGTGGAATAATCCAGGTCATACGTTGTGCAGACAGAGAATGGACAGTTAGCTCATACCTGTCAGCACATTCTCTTTCTGCGGAAGAGTGTGGCATCTGTTATTTCCCCCATTACTTTAATTTGAATCACATATTCAATTTAATCGTCTTTTTTTGGTGTGTGTTCTGATTTGTTTAAAGTGCTTTGAGATGTTCTTTCCCCCCCATTTTCTAAACAAGCTAGCCCTATGTTCATATTGTTCACGGAGAACACGCCTACCATAGAAATGCAACTTCCATGTTTAAGGACAGTACAATACTCTGTATTTTTCCACTCTGTTACATCCAAGCAGGCTCACCGCATGGCCTACCAGTTTCTCCTTTACTGCTGTGAATTGCTGGGGGAGTAAAAGCCTTGTGTGCTGTTGCTGCTGCTGAGCTCAGTATGAACAAACAGAGACAGGGAACAAAGGGAAGAAAAATAGTGATAACTTGAAATTTGGGGTAGACAGACACCAGTAGGGTGGAGAAACAGAGAAGTGGAGGTGACAGAGAAAGTGCAAAATGGGAGGGCAGACCAAAAGAGAGAAAAGGGAAAGGTAAGAGATATGGGGGTGCAACGTTATGATGGTGATGCAGGGAGAGGAGAGTGCTATGGGGTGCAGATGAAAAGAAGGGTTCAGAAGAACCTATGCCTGGGATAACAGAAGGAATAGAGAGACCTCTAACAGCACAAAGAGAGAAAATAATACTTGGGTGTGTGCAGAGGAGAAAAAAGAGGGTAACAGAGACCTGGTGCCAAAAAGAACAGGGCAAAAATAAATACAATGGTACCTCGGGTTACATACGCTTCAGGTTACATATGCTTCAGGTTACAGACTCCGTTAACCCAGAAATAGTGCTTCAGGTTAAGAACTTTGCTCCAGGATGAGAACAGAAATTTTGCTCTGGCGGCACGGCAGCAGCAGGAGGCCCCATTAGATAAAGTGGTGCTTCAGGTTAAGAACAGTTTCAGGTTAAGTACGGAACTCCGGAACGAATTAAGTACTTAACCCAAGGTACCACTGTAATATGCTATGAGGTACAGAAAGAAATGGACTTGGCAGTGGTGGTGGGGAGACAGAGAATAGGTTAAAAAGAAAACATTTAAAATGTAGCAAAAATAATTCCCGGCAATTACTGTGGTGATGTGGGCCCCTTGCGTTAATCAGGAAATGTCAATGTCTCCCTCGGAGTGATCTGGATTGTATGCACCTGTTGTAGGCAGATACAGCAGGCAGGAGTCAGCAGCTCCTCCCCTTCCTTTTCAGGGCTGGAAACTTTGTGCTGCTCCTTTGCCACCCTCTTGATAAAGGGAAGGAAAGGAGGAGTCCTGCCCAGAAGAGGGAGAGGGAAGGCTGACTGGCAGGCACCCCACTGCAAGTAGAGCCCCACAGCCCCTGGCTTCATGGGGGATTGTGAGTACTCCCAGAGTGACCCACTTGCCTGAACGTTGCCTCTCATGATCTTCCAGAATGTGCTCACAGCAGCAGGAAGCTTGTCCTTGCTTTACCAGACCAAAAAATAAAAAAAATCTGCTTGGCAAATTGCAAAAGAAGGCTCATTGATTTCAACAGGAAAATGAAGCACGTGCTCAGCATCAGTCTCCCTTTGAAGATGCGAAAGTGCTTGACCTTGGTTGGATTGCATCCTCACTCTGTTTCTTGACCCTTCTTTTGTATCGGTGTGCAGTGCAAGATGAAACTGTTTTTTGTTTTTTTAAAAGAACATATTGCAGCTATTTTTTCACTTCTTTTTTCACAGTGTAAGCTTGTGCTTATTTTAAATCTTCTGTTGCCTTTTGTTCATTGCATACAGTTAACATCCTTAATTCCTATGAAAAATGCACCAGTTATTGAGATCAAGATGTTTGTGGTTGATTCTCTGTTTTAAACTCACCTGTAAAATCTGTCCTTTTCATAAGATGTTTCCTTATTTAAAGATGATGTTCAGTTTAGGCAAAAACCTCTGAACTAAAACTAACACATCTCATGTAACTAAAACTGTTTCTCATCCTACCAGTTTCTAGAGCTACTCTACAGAGGACGGTCCTCAATTCTGAAGGGCTGTCAGGCGAAGGCCCTCTGAGCGGTCCTGTCCAAATCTGGTTTAGAGCTAGAGGGAGAGTATCAGGGAGGGACTTGATGCTGCCCAAGCACAGCGAACATCTGAACAGCAGACTGAACAGCCACACACAGGCCATGGCCTTCCCCCACAATGGTGAGATTTATTGTTTTTCTACTTAAACTGTAAGAATTATTTATAAATTTGAATCAATTCCTATAAATGACCAAATGTAAATTTGATGCAAACCTTTGTCCTCCTTTGCCCTCTTTTTTGGCATGGCATACACGGCCATGGCCTACACATCAGCATTTGAGCTTAGCCACATGGCTACTGACGTCTCTGTTGGTTTTAAGGAAATAATTGGTTTTCTTTGAAACTCCTCAGAAAGGTGGCAGCCCCACCTTGTGAGAAAGACAGCCTTCGCTTCCACTGATGGCAAAGCTCCCCTTTCTAAAAGGGATGGCTGACACAGGCATCACGGATGTCAACTTAGAATCCCTCCCCACACTACAATAATCATGTTGTTTTCAAGATTTGAAAGGAGGGCTTCTATTTAATTTTGGAAAGGGTGATATCCTGTATGCAAGTTCATCTTGCTCTCTAAAAGTAGCAAACATCAACCACCCCAGGCCCTGTGCTCCACTCTGAAGAAACCTTTTCCCTTATTCTTTCTTCCTTTCTTCCTTTCTTTCTTTCTTTTTCTTGGATGTGCACTTTATGACCTACTTTTATTTTAGGATGGAGGCAAACAGGCTCCCCCTCAGCAAGCTCTCCTGCATGCCCCAAGGGCCTTGTCTCCCTCCATGTTGTCAGAACCCACATAGGAAGCTGCCTTACACCACGTCAGACTATTTGCCCATCTAGTCCAGTATTCCCTCCGACTGGCAGCAGTTCTCCAGAGTCTCAAGCACAAGTCTTTCAAATTACCATTTGTATTTAGCTAAAGATAACCAAGGCAGACAAATAAGGCTCTGAGCTGCTGGATTCTTAGGACTTTTTTGGGCAGGGTGGGGTGTTGTGTGTAAGGTACACAGCATTTGTTTTGTGGCTGTAAGGCATCACCCGGAGATTAATTTCCTTCCTTTGTGGTTTCATGACAACTGACTTCCACGTCTGGTTTTCCCTACTGCCGTAACATTAAAGTGCTCACTAAAGTGTTTTTGTTATAAGTGAGCATTTCCACAGCATGAATTAAACAATTAAAACCGAGTCCTCTGAGGGCAGGATGGATCCAGCAATAATATATCAATTTTTAAGAAAAAGATGTGCTTGGAATGAACTGGTTTGGTTTAGCAAAATTCACTGAATTAGCTCAAAATCTCTGAACTACACCTGAAAATAGTCCCCATAATTGTCCAGTGCACAGAGCATGAATTAAGTTCATTGAATTATTTCTAGTTCATCATCAAGTTCATTCTCTTGCATGTGTTTTTGACTTTGGGGGGCCTTTAAGCTTAAAGAGAGGAATTGGTAAGGGAAATAAACCAAACAATTCACATTCTGCTGTGTGTGCATGCCTTGATGCTTCCTTAGTCTTAAATATAGACTTTAAATATAGTTTATACTTCAGCATAGTAGCTTGTAACATTCTGAAGTCTGGGTGCAGGGAGGGATGCAAAGAATCATTTGAAACAATTTGAATCGAACTGCGAACTGAATGTGAACTGAACCAGTTTATTTCATAAAGGAACAAAAGTGAACTGGAATTAGTTCCTTTTGGGACATGTCAACCTTAAACTAGAACTAGCTCCTTTTTAAAATGAACTTCCCCAGTTCTGCAATGGCTACACGAGGCTCGAGACCAAGCAAAAAGGGTAGGGGAGAAAGAGAACACTTCCCTTCTCATCTGTCCCACATGCCGTGATGGGAGTGGTTGTGCACCTTTATAGATCCGTAATGTGAGAAACCACATGGCGAATAATGGACTATGATTCACTTTAAGAGACATATTAGGGAAACACATTCGCCCTTAGTAGCTTATCATGTATTTTTCTCTCCAGTACTCTCAAATATACTGTTGTGAGCTCAGCTGGCTTGATCACTGTGAATGAGTGGTCAAGTCCTTGATAAAGGAATGTTAATGTTCTTTAATGATTGTGGATGGTCTCCTGAATAAGCCATTCCGTTTCACAGGTGGGGTATGAGATGAGCTTTCTCTGCACCTCTCCACAGGCAGTGGTGCAGCTTCCCACTGTTTCTCTGGACCTGCTGCCTATTTTTAGGCGTTTGCTTGCTTCCAGCCGGTGCTGCTAATATTATTTGTAGATAAAACAAATATTACAAAGACAGCAGAAATCGCCTTTACTCTCTCATCCAAATGAAATGGAATTCTGTCGTGCTGCCCCTCTTTCTGCCTTATGCTGAATCCGACCAGGGTTTCCAGCACGAGTCTTCCCTAGCCCTACCTAGAGATGGCGAGGATCAAACCTGAGACCTTCAGCATTCAAAGCATACTATTTATGATTCAGCTAGTATCTGCAGTGGATTTGAATTGATTTTATATGTGTGCTGTTGTTATTTTCCAGCTATTTATATGGAAAGGCCTACTTGCTTTTTTATTTTAAAGGTTGTTTTAACTGTTTTTATATATGTAACTGTTTTATATATATATATACACCGATTATATTGTAAATCGCTTGAGGATGCGTCATGGGAAGTGACTCAAAAATGAAATAAATAAATAATAGCTTTGACCTTTCCTAAGCGAGGAGACTGTAATAATACAATCACATCCCTGGTCTATTTCCCCACCCCCACCCCACCCGCTGCAATATACAGTTTAGAATATTTGTGGAGTAAAAAATTAAAAAAAAAGAAAAAGAATATTTGTGGAGTAAAAGTTCCGCTCTCGGGAGGAAAAGGAGGGGGTGATATGTCATGGTTGCTTAATGTTAAGTTTCACCGGTTTCTCCCTCACGCCCACCTCCCCTGCATAGATTGAAACAGATCAGTAAAGATTAATTAGTAAAGATTTGCTTCCACCTCCTTAACTGAAATCGCAACTCACAATAAGGATATGAGAACTCACTTTACAGCTTTGCGTTTGTGTTGCACCTACAAGGTGATGATGTGGAGGTATGCAACAAGACATGGGATGCTTCAGGACGGGGGTGGGGGGAGGGCTTAAGTTGCAAATGAGACATTGAGATATTGCAAATGCTTTGTTGGCAGCAGACTTTTTTCACTGACTGAATTTCCTCTGGAGAGGGTAAATCCAGATTAAAGTGGGGGTGGCGGGGGTGGAATACAGGCTGGTGTCTTGATGTCAATGACGTCATGTGTACACTGCAAAAACTAGCAGGCATGAGGAGTACTGATCCCACAATAAACACCTACCCAGAAGCACCCTAGGAAACCTGCACTATGACTGAGAGGCACATGTTTCCTTGTGCACAGGTGTGCAGATGCATGTAGTACAGTACCTGTAAATGTTGCATTGCTTAAAGATGCAGGATGGTGGGTAGGTGACATTCCACGGAGGTGCGATGTATGTTAGATAACATTACCCAGTTTCAGAAGAATGACCCTCTCCCTTGCTATTCTCCACCAGGTATATCTATGAACATTTCCCCCTTCCAACAGACTTTTATTTCATGAGGCAGACAGTGTTCTTTATTTTTATTTTGTTTAAAAACTGCTGATCTGTCTCCTTTTTGGTAATTGTTTTATATTGTTTAACACAACTGTAATGTCATGTATGCGGCAAAGTGCCCTGAGTTATGTTTTTTTGTTTTTGTTTTACACCAGGAGGATGAGATACAAATGTTTGAATAAAACGATATGGAAAAAATTGCAAGGCTTTGCAGAAGAGTATATAGTTCAGGTATTGCCTTTTGCTTATGACTTTAATGAATTAATATCGCACACAGATGTACTGTTTGCAGAGAGCCAGAAATGCAGCCTTGCAGACCCTGCAGATTCGGGGAGAGGAGGCAAATCCACGAGAAGCAGCCTCTATTTCTTTTTAATTAAACTCTTCAATCAACCCCCCCCTTTTCCCTTTTCCCTACTCCCAAGGCTCTTCCATTAGTGTTTCCCTCCCTGCCTTACTAATGGCCTTGCAGGCCCTTCCCTGTTATAACTCTCCCTGCCGCCCCACCTCTGGGTTTTGCCACTCTCCCCTCCTACAACTGTATTTCCCAGCCCACGCTGCTCAGAGCATGATTTACGAGAAGGCAACGCCAATTCCAGTCTGGCAGGAGAGTCGGGTACCACATTGGCTGAGAGAATGGCGCCGGTGCCAGGCCAGGGGGGAGCCCAGAGGGTGCAGCTTCCCAGAAAGAAGGTCGAGTGCGGAGGGAGGGGGACTGGTTGGCCAAACGTAGCAGCAGCAGCAGCCGCCACAAGCTCTGCAGGAGCAGAGAAAACTGAGCAATGGCATCAGGTCCAGCATTCCTTCCATCCCGCCCATCTGTCTGAGACAGGAGCAAAAGGGGAATCCTGCATGCAAGCAAGCAAACAAACAAAAAAACACGACAGCAAGGTGGCAGGCAAGCTCCCTTCTGCCCCGAGTGCTTGTTGCTCTCCTGAAAGGCACTCTACATATAGGTGGTGCCTTGCACCATTGAGCTGCTAGGCTGTGACAGAGACACAGAATTCACAAGCTGCCCCCGTTTCTTCAGCTCCGTTCTTAATTGCTCATTCACTCCCATGGAGACACATTTATCTTAAAGCATCAGTGGAGGCAAAAGATGCAGAGGGTGACAAACAGAGACTCCTCCTCTCTCGGCAAGCATAAAGGAGACATTGCAGAGCTGAGATTTGAGTTAGGGCTCCCTCCCTGGTGCTCTCATGTAGGATGATGCTCCCTCCAGCTCAGAGAACCGAGGCCCCTGGGAATGCGCTGCACGTCTGCACAAACACAGCCCACTGCAGGGCAGGAAACTGTCCATCCTTGAGACAAGGTTCTGCCACCTGTGGGCATGAGGAGGAGCTAGTGTGCCTTTCTCGGCTGAGAGCCCTTCATATTCTCTTGTTTCTCGCCTGCCTCTGGAGCTGCCCCGCTGCCTCACAACGCATCCATCAATTGTTTGCCACCAGAGGAAGCACAAAGGTAGGGCACAGCCAGTAGACACAGGTTCAAATCTCACCCACTCAGCCATGAAGCTCACAAGCCTCTCCGATTAGCCTTCCTCACAGGTTTGTTGTGAATACAGAATTGGGTGGGAGAGTGGGAGGACCGTGTGCATCCACCCTAGACTCCTTGGAGGAAAAGTGAAATAAAAATGTAATGCTCTATAAAGCATGGAGGGTGGGGAGGCATAACTCAGTGGCAGACAACTGGCTTTAAACATAGAGGGTTCCAGGTTTTATCCACAACATCTCCAGTTAAGGTGGGGAGATCTAAGACTTGGGGGGCTGAATGTGGTTCCCCAGGACTCTCTAACTGACCCAGAACTCTCCCCATTTCCCAGGACATTCCCTCTCTCCCCAGACTGCACCCCCTCAGTGCCCTGCTTCGCACACTCCTTGGGTATTTTTGCCTGGCTGGAATGTGTCCTTGAATTCCAATCATGTCTCTTGCTTGCCTGGATGAAGGATAGAGGTGTGTAGAAACTAGCTTGCTGTATGACGGTCATTCCTCCACACACTTTTGCCCCTGGCCCTGCCCACCCCTGGCATGTGGCCTCTGGAAGGTTGCTCAGAAGGGAATGCAGCTGCCCTCAGGCTGAAAGGTCCCTCATCCCTGAGTTAAAGGGAGCAGAGCAGGAAAAAAGCCCTGCCTGAGGCAGCTGCCAGTAAGCAGGCAGGGAGAAGCAATGGCCTGGCTCACCGTAGCCTGTTTCCTGCCTGTGTTTGAATACTAAGCCGACTAGAGATCAGGCATATTTGAAAGCTGAAACCCATCCTGAATAGGGTTTGTTGGGTACATGGCGGAGACCGCAAGCACGCTTAAGTCCCTCTCAGCCCAGTGGAAAGCCTGACTGGGAGCAATGAACCAGCACACCTGATCCCCAGGATTACAGAGGTCTGGACTGGATCCAAGACTCCCTCTGGAGACTCCTGCATCTTTTAAGACAGCCACTACTGTCTCCTTCACATGCAGGGCTACAGCTGCATCGCTGCTCCTCCTGGATATGGACGTCTTGCACGCCTTCCCTTTTCCCTGCTGGCGCAGGTGATGAGTGCTACCTTCTGCAGAAAACTGCCTTCTCTCTCTCTCTCTCTCTCTCTCTCTCTCTCTCTCTCTCTCTCTTCGAAGGGCTCCCTGAACCAGGGCTATCCCTGATGGCTGAAGCCCAGGATGTCTCTCCAGGGATGCAATCCTGCTTTTTGCATTAATAATTTACACCGTGTTGTTCAGCTAATAATGGCCTTTCCTTGTGATTAGCTCACTTAATGGGCTAAAATTGGCAAGAGAACAATGGGGCTTTAATCTTCCTGGGGAGCGTGGCGGGTGGGGGAGGCGGGAGGAGAAGAACTACATTTCCTAGATTTTCTGCACTTGTGGAATATCTCGCTGCCCCTGTCTCTGGCAAGAAGAGAGGGGCAAATGGGCTTGCAGGTCCAAAGACCCCTCCTCCAAGCACATGATCCTCAGCCTGTGTGTGTTCCAAGTCCTCTGGCTGTAGGAAAATGCCCTGCAATATATTTCTCTGATTACAGGTCTGAAGCATCGAGAGCTCCTGGCTGCCCTGGCCAGGTTGTGGCATGCATTGCCCATACCTGCCTCCCATCCTTCTCAATCACTTCTCAATCAGTGTTTTGATACCGCCCTCTGTTCTCCAGAAGTGCAATATAAGAACAGTCTGCTTTCATCCTCGGTGATCCATTAGTAGTGGATGCCCCATGCACATCACAGACCAGCAGTTAGGAAGAGGAGAAGAAGAAGAAGAGTTTGGATTTGATATCCTGCTTTATCACTACCCTACGGAGTCTCAAAGTGGCTAACCTTCTCCTTTCCCTTCCTCCCCCACAACAAACACTCTGTGAGGTGAGTGGGGCTGAGAGACTTCAGAGAAGTGTGACTAGCCCAAGGTCACCCAGCAGCTGCATGTGGAGGAGCGGAGATGCAAACCCGGTTCACCAGATTATGAGACTGCCGCTCTTAACCACTACACCACACTGGCTCCCAGAAGCAGCATGAAGGAGGAGACAAACAGAAATGGTGGCCTCCTTTCCCAAAGACCTCCTTTGGTGTATTAATCCCACTGGCAGGTGCAGGTGGCATTGGCTACTGGAACGGGCAGCTTTTGTTTGCGGCAACCGCCTTAAGAACCATAGGAGGAGGCAGTTGTTTCTTAGGGGGCCATTGCCACCGGGGGAAACTCGTTTCGGAGAGGTGGTGGCCACAATCATTTTGAAAGGGCAAGGCCTGCACTCCCTGGTAAACATAACCACCACCTGAAGTCCCGAGTGGCTTTGCATTGGCTTTATCCGTCAGTGTGTGCTTGAATTCCTGATCTCCACTTCCCGGTCTCTCTGTTCCTCTGACCTGCCTGTCTCTAGCTTCATTGCTACTCCCTGCTTTCTGCTCCGCTTGACAGACTCCTTGGCTGTGACCTTGGCTCTGCTTGACTCTGACTTTGGCTCCCCCTCTTGCATTGGTTTCTGTGTTTGAACTGTCTTCCTGGCTCCTGACCCCGTTTCTCTGCACAGTTCTCAAAGAGGCTCACAGCTGACACACAATGGCACCAGCCCTGAATAGGAGTCCCAGGTCCCACTTTGATTAGACTAGCTCGGCTCAGTTTTCTTTCCTGAGGTGGGGGCAGAAACAAGGAGGCACCAGCCGCCTGCCCACCCCAGAAGCTCCCTTCTCCTATGCCAGCGATGAGCAGACTTCAGCCGTTGATTTTGTACTACGTCCAAACAATGCTACAGTAGTGTAGCAGGCAAGGAGCAGCTAGAATCATAGAATCATGGAATTTAAAGTTGGAAGGGACTCCGAGGTTCATCTAGTCCAACCCCCTACAATGCAGAAATATGCAGCTGTCCCTTATGGCGTTCAAACCTGCAACCTTGGTGTTATCAGCACCATGCTCTAACCAACTGAACTGTAGAATTAAAGAATGGGGTGCCTCTGAGCCCAGACCAGGAAACTGTTTTTAGTACTAGAATTGAGCTCACAGTCTTTTTGCATAAATATCCACTCCTGGTTCCCCTCCCCAAGCTTTATTTGCTTCAGCAGCCTAATTTAGGGGACACACACACACACACGTTATTTATGTTGTTGCTAATCTACTGGAGGCTCCAATACTTTGGCCACCTCATGAGAAGAGAAGACTCCCTGGAAAAGACCCTGATGTTGGGAAAGATGGAGGGCACAAGGAGAAGGGGACGGCAGAGGACGAGATGGTTGGACAGTGTTCTCGAAGTTACCATCATCAGTCTGACCAAACTGTGGGAAGCAGTGGAAGACAGAAGTGCCTGGCGTGCTCTGGTCCATGGGGTCACGAAGAGTCGGACACGACTAAACAACAACAATCTACTGGAAACTAGCCAGAGATCTGACACCAGTTGCTGGAAACTGCAGGAGGGGAGGGTCTGCTTGAGCTCAGGTTCTGCTTGCTGTTTCCCACAGGCATCTAGTTGGCCCCCATGAGAACAGGATGCTTAACGAGATGGGCCATTGGTCTGATCTGGCAGGTTCTTCTTGTGCTCTTAACTGTGCCCACCCCTATTCTAAGCTACTAAACCCATTTCCTCCTTATTTTCTGCTGTAACCAACTAACGCTATTTCCCTGCACAATGTCTTCCCTCACCGTCTCCAACTAATGCCATTGCCACAACTGTAGGCATGTTTGCCTGGCTGTATATCCCAAGGGTGGGAAAGAACTGGCCTGGACAGAGGGGTGGCTGGGGCTGTAGTAAGTGGAAAGGAGAGGATACAAGCAAGAAATGCAAGGAAGGACACCCTCCTCTGGGTCCTGCTCCTCACCCTCCTTGAGTGCTTGTGCCTGGCTGAAATGTTTCCTTGAGCTCTTGCTTGCCTGCCTGGAGAAGTGGGGGGTCTGTTTGTTTATTAGCAATTTCTAGGATTGTAGGCAATTGAACTAAGAGCAGATCCATACTGTGCATTGAAAGCAAATCCAGTGCATATTTAAAGCATGTTACTTTCCCCAAAGAATCCTGGAAACTGTAGTTTGTTAAGGATGCTGGGACTTCTGTCTTTGTGGGGGGGGGACTACAGCTCCCAGGGTGCTTTGTGGGAAGTACTGTGCTTTCAATGTATGTTGGACGTGCTTCAAATGTATGGTGTGGATCTGCCTAGTCACACCTGCTGCTCCGCCCACTTTTGCTCCTGCCACACCCCCACACACCACTGAGGAAACAGCCTGGGGGCTGAACAACTTCCTCCACCCTGATACATCCCACTGAACTGAGCAGGAGTGGGGGGGGGACTTACTTCTAACATGCTGAGAATTTAGTTGTAACTCTCTCTTTTTACATCACAAAAAGATCCCTTGCAGCATTAAGAGAGTGAGAGATTCTTGTGATATAAAAAGAGACTCTCCCCTCCCGCAGAGTCTCTCCCCTCCCGCAGTCTCTACTTAACTGTAGATCCCAATCATTAACCCAATGATTCAGTTGTCATTGTTACCTCAGCTAGCTGGCAGATAATTCTCACTGCCCCAGAGTCTAACCCTAGAACAACTGTAAATAAGTGAAGCAGTCTCCTCTTTTAAGTACGGTAACTTCTATGGTAAGTAACCGAGCTGAGAAATCACTGTGTTTGTGCAAAACTCATCAGACAATCCCATAATAACCTACTGAGGCCAGGACTCAACGGCCACTGTAATGGCAAACTATTTATGCTGGCTAAATAGTGATTTGAAGGAAGCTGAAAGGAGAGGACATAAGGAAGAAATGCATGGAGAAAACAGCTGCTTCAACTGCATGGCTGCACCAAACCCCTCAGAAAACAGTATTTTTGGGCTGATGCCTTACTGGTGGAAAGCGGACAGAGAAATATGGGATGTATCTCCTTCCCCAGTACAGACAAACCCCAGTTCCATGGTGGTTCAGATTACTTGTGCCACAAATCCATCTAGCCTCAAATAAATGTTCTCTTGCAGGGGGAGGGGGGTCTTAGAAGAGGCACCCTGAGCTCCACAGACTCATAAGATGTAGTCCATCAATTTCTTCGAAGGTCTTTCCTTCAGCTCCAGTTTCATAGACTCCCATGGGCCAGACACAGCCCTCTCCTCTTCCCACTGCAGGGCACTTCCAGCAATGCACTGAGACCCTCCCTGATTTCGAGGGAACCGCAAACCCTTCCGAGACTCTGACCTACATTCTTTCATTCCAAGGACATCTTTGGAAGGCACCAGGGCACTTAGCTTTCACATCTCACATTACTTAGCACCAGGCGCCATCTTTCCTCATATCTCCAACACCCTTCTTAATTACTCTTCATACCATCATTTCTCATGGAAATCCATTTCTCTCAAGGCAAATCTGAAGGTGAAAGGTTACAAAGTATTGAAACAAAACTCCCATCCTCAAGGGGAGGGGAAAGAAGGAATTCCCCATCAGGTCTGACCTTCCTCCCCACTGAGTTTAACAGCACACACACACACACACACACACACACAAGCACTTTTTCTCAGAGTAAACTTAATTTTGAGATTTGGATTCGGCAGGTTAAAATTAGCTCAGTTTGTTAATAAGTCCTGTACCTAGATTGCTAAAGGACTGTGGAAATTTGAGTTCTTGAGGGAGAAAATATTCAGGCACCTCTTCCATTAATATATAAATATATAATACATTTGTATGGCATTTGTTGCCAGTTATTGGCCCCACGATATTTACAGATATGACCTTCCCATCCTTCCTTGGTGAAACATTGCTTGGTGCTCAACATTACTGAAGTCCTGAAAGCAGGAATGGGACACATCTCCTTTGGATATGTCTCCAGGTAAACAGCAATTCACACAGATCTACAGTCAAGGAGGTCCATGCTGCTGCCAGCTTCATCCTGGAGCTGTGGCAGCCACCTGTGAAGCCAGGATTGGAGCCAAGCAGCTGTCATTGCCTCTGGGTTATTGCTAAATAGATTCCTGCCAATGCTATGTACCCCATGCCCTTGTAACAAAGCCGCCTGGGTTCCCTGCGTTGCACAGCAGCTGCCTCTGCTTGATTAAGGCTTCCAGTGGCATATGCTGATAGGGGTGGTGGTAACCAGGGAAAGATCAAGCCAAGGAAGGAATGGCCATCAACCCAACACAACTGGACTCTTCTGTTTCTAGGACATTGCCTTTCATAGCTAGGTCTTCCCCACTCGATCTTGGCAGCCCAAAAGACCAGGCTAGTAGCTAAAGCCAAAAGGAGGCAGGAAAAGAACTAGAAGCCTATTATGGTCCTCCATCATCAGCAACAATGGTTTCATCACCAGTTATGAAAATGAACGGACCATTGTTACAGCTAAAAGAAACCCAACAGGGGGGGAAATGACAATAATGAAAGAAAGGAAACATTTTGAATAGAAAGCAAATAACTCAAATGTGAATAAACTGAAAATCAATTGGAGCACTGCTACCCAGCATAAATGTTTTAAAAGTACAATTTTGGGAATTGTGTTTCTTTTGTTGTTTAGAATTCAGATATTTTCATATGAGTGGAATATACCATTCAAATTGCATATTTATTTATTCCCTAGAGTTAATCTGGTAACCTCTAGATTAGATTACTGCAATGCGTTATATGTAGGGCTCCCTCTGAAGTCAGTTCGGAAACTTCAGCTGGTGCAGAATTCAGTGGCCAGCTTGCTGATTGGGACAAGACAGTTTGAGCAGATTACACTGGTCCTGCTTAAATGGCTCAGGACCACCATACCTCAAGGACTGCCTCTGCCCAGATAAACCGACCTGGACCCCGTGATCATCATCTGAGGCTCTTGTTCATGTGCCTCCTCCATGAGAGGTCTGGAGGGTGG